AGGTTCGAATCCCGCTCGTGACACTGATTTTTTTTCTCAACTAAAAACCTTAATTAATTGAATGATATTAATTGGTCAAGCGTACCATGAAAAATAGTGAATTCAATATATTATTATATTCAGAGGAATTGAAGTCAATAAGGATTCAACATTGAAGGAAACAAAAAGAACCACTCCATCTAAATTAACATTCTTTATCTTTTTTATGAATACTTGATGCTGTATTTTTACTCAACCAAAGCCCGATATTTGGTCTTAACCCATTTCGACAGAACGTTGATTAAATTCCACAAACTGTAGATCTTACATTAGAAGAAAAAACCTTCTTTATGTATTTTAGGTATCCCATACATTTTAGGAGAATCCGAGTTGTGGATTTTAATCTTGTTTATCTAACCAATTTCTTCAAGTTTATCGAATAACATATTCCTTTTCATCTGGTTGGGCTTGCCGAGATTCAGATTATACTTGAGTAAAAACGTAGTCGATACATATAACACTTTTAACAGTAATCTGAAACGTGAAGTATTACGAATTTAGTAGATATGATAAATTTTACGAATTTCGTATCAAATTTTCGACTATGTAGTCTTTTTAGTTCAATTTGACATGTAAGCTATCCTCCTATACGGGATAATCTATAAAATATACAAGATTAGCAGAGAATAGGGAAAATGTATTTGTTAAACATTAAAATAGATAAAGTTAGTGCCACGAGCGGGATTCGAACCCACGATCTTCGGCTAGATACGCCGCTGCTCTACCACTTGAGCTATCGTGACCTCGATCCACTCGAACACCAACTCCCAATCTCAACCTACAACCTTTCGAATTTTCCCTTTTTTTGTCATTTTATTCCCGCTCGTGGCACAAACTTTTTCATTTCAACCAAAATCGAACATAAAAAGATTAATTAATTGAAAGAAGTAATTTGGTCATGACATGAGTAAAAATAAAACAAAATTATAATTAATAAAAAATTCAGTAAGTAAATTTTTGATAGAAAATTTTTTTTAAATTTTTAAACTAGTATTTTTCCACCAAATTTTGATCATCCCAATCCAAATTATTCTTAAAAAAATCAGAATTTCGAATTTGTAGAAATAAAATTCTGGTAAAATTAAGAAAGATCCGAGAGTACATATTAAAACATTTATAATCACTCGTCAATTTTGTACAACTGCATATAACGTTAAACGAGCAATTAAAAATGTCCTTATTTCGAGATAGGCTACTGGGAGAAAATCATATTCCGTAATGTTATACTTTCTAACATTAAAAATAAAAAAGACAACTCATTAGCATTATCTATATTTTTGCACATTTATCCTCATGTGTAATTTACGTGTTATTTTAGTTTTCACCGCTTTCCAGATTTCTAAACTAATCCCGACCAAACAATTTCAAAACGATTTCGTGTTTTAAAACGGCCATTCAATTATTTCCGTTCTACAAACGTTCGGAGTATATTTCTGCAGAGAAAAGAAAAATGACGCAGGCAAAATTCATGGTGGCTGAACAGGTCACTTATTGTCTCTATGGATCGCTCTAAATCAAATTAAATTAAATTTTAAGAAATGTTAGAACATTGAAAAATACTCAATTAATTATACACAATTTTTGCTGCTCACGAACTGCTCACGATTCACAAGTATATTTAGTATTAATCTAGAATCACACTTGTGAATCGTACCCAGTCCAGCTAATCTAGTACAATCGTTAATAAAAGTGTTTCTATATTTTCTTACAATTAGAATAAAATCGGGGAGTCGAAGTGAGAAGTTTGTGGCATGGGCGAACGAAGTCACGGTAGCTCAAGTGGTAGAGCAGCGGCGTATTGAGCCGAAAGTCTTGGGTTCGAATCCCGCCTGTAACACAGATTTTTCATTTCGAAAAAATTGTGTATAATTAATTGAGTATTTATATATTTAAATAGAAGCTGATAAATAATTAAAAATTTAACATTGAAAAATATTACAATTAATTAAGGTTTTTAGTTGAGATAAAAAAGTCAATGGCACGAGCGGGATTCGAACCCACGATATTCGGCTTGATACGCCGCTGCTATACCACTTGAGCTATCGTGACCTCGATCCACTCGGACACTAACTTCCCATCTCAACCCCACCTTTTGAATTTTCCCTCCTTTTTGCCATTTTTCAAAAGGTGAGGTTGAGATGGGAAGTTAGTGTCCGAGTGGATCGAGGTCACGATAGCTCAAGTGGTAGAGCAGCGGCGTATCTAGCTGAAGATCGTGGGTTCGAATACCGCTCGTGCCATTGACTTTTTATCTCAACTAAAAACCTTAATTAATTGTAATATATTAATTGGTCTAACGGAACACGAAATTAGTGAATTTATTGAAAAATATTATAGGCTTGTAAGGGGTTTGGCGAAATTAGCCCGAGGAAAACGCGTTCACCCTTCAGACCGACGAAACGAAAAAGCAGCACACTTGCCTGAGGAAGATATACGGCCCGATCCTATAATTGAGATAACAAAATCAAATACAGAATCCTCATCGCAGAATGGATCCAAATAAAACAAAAGGAGGAGTGGATAAACTGTAGCAGCTCTAGACACGGTAATCTTAAGTTAAAACAACGCTCAACAATACTGGCAAACTCACTGCTGCAATTGGAGAGGGCTAAACTCAGAGGAGTGGTAGGACTTCTAACCGGTCGACTAACGATCATCCCATCGGTACATTATGCAATGACGGGGAGGAAACAGTCACCCATATCATCTTCGAAAGGCAAACAACATCTCAATGGAGATTTAGCCTATCACACAGAAAAAACCTACGGAATGAAATGTTAGCAGCAACAGTCAATGACCTAATGCTGATATGATGATCAGCATCTCCTCCCCTCTTGGCAATAACACGTCCGTTTTCAGGCGGAAATCTGGACCATTAATGTGTTGTAGAACACTTATGGAAAATAAAATTAATGGAAAAGGCATTAGAATTTTTTCTGACAGTCAGGCTAGTCATTACAAGGTCATTACAAAAAGATTTGTAAGCAGGAAACTGTAGATCTTGTCAATAGGATCTCTTCCAGGTTTGAGAACAAGGTAACCCTTATTCGGATACCAACACATAAAGGACACCATGGCAATGAAAAGGCGGATGGCCTAGCCAAAGAAGGCTCTAATGCTGCGTTTGTCGGACCACAGCCGGTATTACCTCACTCTATGAGCACAGCGAAAGAGAGTATTAAAAAATTTTGGAATGAAACATTTCCTTAAGCAGTGGAATCTCTACCCCGGACACAGGCAATCAAAAGGGTTTGTTAAATTAGGAGGCTGATAGGTTTTCTGACGGGCCATTGCCCACTGAGAAGACACCTCTTCGTAATGGGTATCCTACCAGATCCTTTTTGCCGTTTTTGCGAAATAAACGAAGAAACGGCAAGGCACTACCTCGCAGAGTGTGATAGGTACGCTAGGTCTAGATTTGAAATCTTTGAAGGAGAGGACATCACCAAATCAATCCCCGAGATAAAATGGTCGAAAATCTTGGGGTTTGTGAACAAGTCCAAGAGATTTATGCAGGACACGTGAGCCGACCAAGCCCCGGACCTTTTAGCGATGGGGTTCGGGTCTACCCAGGCATTTAACCCCTGGGGGTCTTGGTCGCCCACCGTGCGTAAAATATTTATATATGACCTAATGCTTCTGAGAAGAAGGATTGAGTCTATTGCACTGGACTAGGGAACTAGGAAGGTACAATAAGCCAGAAGACTGCAATGCCTGAGAAGCACAAACCCGCTTCCTAGTATCCACGTCACCATCACCATTATCACCATCCATGTAATAAAAGGCCACATGAAAAAGATAATATATTAATTATAGTTCAATTATCATAAATATAAATTAACATCTTGACACTTCATTCATTTTTTTACAAATAACAACTATTGTTTCAACATAATTCACCCGTCATTGTCAGGAACGTATTGCGCGATGACTTAGTTACTTAAACCGATTTTTTTTCCAAATGAAGGAAATGTTGTTCCCATTTCTTTCGTCTTGACGAATGGTATTTGTTGGAATTTCGAATGAAAAAAAATCAAGTTTTCCGGATCAAAGTTCTTTCAGTAGGCGGGGGAATAATAGATTAAAGATTGGGATTAAATTCACTATAAATTCACTAGTTTTCGTGGTCCGCTTGACCAATTAATATACTTTAATTAATTAAGATTTTTAGTTGAGATAAAAAAGACAGCGTCACGAGCGGGATTCGTACCCACTGGCCGAGTGATCGAAATCACAGTAGAAACATGAATTTGTCACGATCTGGCCGAAGGTCGTGGGTTCGAATCCCGCTCGTGACATTGACTTTTTTATCGCAACTAAAAACCCTAATTAATTAGGATTAAAGATAAATTTTTAGTTTAATTAACAGGTGGATTGCTTCAATTCGGGATTTTGACGGGAGAGTAAAAAGACATTGTAATAACGGAAAAATATATTTTTGCGTTTTACTACAACACAAGTTAACTTAGCAACAGCAGAGGTTATATCAACCCTCGGGGTGCCGGTGTTTTTGAAAATAAAAGCCCATTTGTAAGTATGTCGGGTTGGGATGCAGGGTCGCTGGATTCGAACCCGGGACTTTTACCCTACACTGATGAATGTCAACGCCTAAACCATTGCGGCCACCGACGTCCCTGTTAACTTATGAAACATTAAAAAAAATTGGTACAATTAACGATTGGACTGTTTCTGGAAGGATTAACTAGTGGATTACTACAAAACTTTTTTTTTCAAGCATAGATGTATATGTTTTAGCATACATTTGATGATATTTTGTCCTTTGTGTTGCCCAATGTATAAAAATATGCATAAGGTTTTTGTTTTTGCTTTTAATACCTTTTCTTACCATCTTGTTTTTCCTGAGTCTTCTCTTAAGATTTAGGCAGATAACATTTATTTCTGAGAAATTGGCTTTGACAACAATTTAGCTAATACGAAATCTTCTAGGATTTGATGTTTATGATCAGACTTAACCTTTTTTTCTTCTTATTATTTTTAATGAAAATTTGCACTTAGAATGACATTGACCCCCCGTTAAGCCGGTGCACTTCTTGGGTCGGAAGATCTTTCGTGGAGGGGCACCGTCAGCTGGTGGGGACTCGGTGTACACATAGCGTTCTGCCACAGTTCGTCCCACGCTCTCCGTTCCTCGTCGCAACATCCAACGAAACGTGAGTCTGAAATATTTACGCGATATTTGAAATTTTATCAATTTTCCACAACAAAACTTGTTTGACCGTAAAAGTCCAGGGGGCAGAGTAGAAAAATATCGATTTGATCTTCGATCCAATTTTAGTATTAGTATCACGATATTAATCAGACCAAAATTTTATTTAAAAAAATAACATTCCCAACATTCGAATATCTAAGTCAACGGAATTTTGTCACATCAGAAAACATATTCTTATTTTATCTACACAAATGCAAAATAATCTGTAAAAAACTAAAACTTCATTTTACAAAAACATTGCAGAACCAGAGATTTTTACCCGAATGTCAAATATTCATAAAGTGAATTTGCAAAAATGCCATTTAGTCACGATTAATTTTTAATTAGGATCAAAAATATAGGCTTTTTTGATGAAAACAGCGAGAACATACGGAAGCATTTCTTACCTTATTTCTATCTTTCCTGCTCCCACACTTGTTTCTTTATTTTTTGTTTGTATTTCATTCATTTGCAATTAAATCACTCTCTCGAGCCAAATGAATGCACAACACTCCTCTAAATAAATGGAAGCTTTGTTATTTTGATTAAATTTATTACTGTGAAATACTCACTCTTTCTGTTTCGCTCTGTCTGTCTCTCAGTCTCTGTCTGTCTGTCACTGTCTCTCTCTCACTCTCTCTCACACTCTCTCTCTCTCTGTCTGTCTCTCTCTCTCTCTCTCTCTCTCTCTCTCTCTCCCTCTCCCCTTAGTTCTCTACCTTTTTTCTCTTCCTCCTTTTTCTTCTTTTAACTCTTTTTCATTGTTTCCCTTCTGTCTCTCTGCCTACTCCTCTCTCTCTCTCTCTCTCTCTCTCTCTCTCTCTCTCTCTCTCTCTCTCTCTCTCTCTCTCTCTTGCTCTCTCTCTATCTACTTATCTCTAACTATTTATTTCTAGCTATTTATTCCAATGAATACTCAAACCTTTGAATATGAGCTGATGTCTGGTTTATTTATTTCTTTTTTTACGATAAATTTGCCTAGCTCCTCCTTTCTGTTTCATTTATCTCCCTATTTATATATTCGTGTCAATATTACGATATTTTACTCATGCTCTTTTTATTGTCTTTCTTTTTCCCTTTGTCTCGACTATCTTAAGCGATAATTAGATTTATGTAGTTTTAGCTATTAAACGTACTTAGGTCATTTAGTTTGAATATGGTAATGACGAAGAGGAAGTTTGGTATTCCCCACGCACTGCAATCATGGTCATATAATAAAATAATATGCAACATTAAATGGCATTAGATATATAAAAAGGTGTACAAAAACGAAATATGTAAATCAGTACTTACATGAGCCACAAAAAAAATTGTTTTTTGGACAACAATACAAAAACTAGAATTGATAATTGATGGAGTGAGTATGTTGTTCAATCTAGATCAGCTAGATATGATAACCTTGTTAAATAATTAACATATTATTTTAATATGGGTTTTTGTCTTCATTGTGCATTTATTTCAAAATTATTATGTAATATATTAGTCGATTTTTAATTAAATATTTTTTTTAAGTAGGGTGTGTATATAATATGCAGAATCGTATTAAATGAGAACAGATATAAAAAAGTTTCAAAAACCAACTCACTACCGGAAATGGGGGTTTATGTTCCCCAGGCACAGCAGCCTTCTGGCTTATTAAACCTTGGCTAGGTAAAAGTGTCTAATATGAAAGTAGGCAAAAAAGACATTTTAAACAATTACATATTTTTTGTGGGGGATTTCTTTATTCTGCATGTATTTCAAAGTACATCAGTCATCTATACCAGTCGATTTTATAATTTGTTTAACTAGGATGTAAAAATAATATGTAGGATAATTACCCTTTAAAGCTTTCAAAATTCAACTTTTATCGCAAAAAATATAGACACTTCTGGGCTGGGTCAGCTAGTAACAATTTTTTTTCCGCTGTTGTCCAGAGTTATACGTAAAATTTCATACCTCCCCTGGAATTTATCATATATCATTTTTCTTTTGGCATTTTTCTTCTTTGAGCCTATAATAACAACCTTTGGGTTTTTTGAAATTTTAAGTGTCAAAATAATAATTCAATACAGGGGCGTCAGTGGCCGCAAATGTTTTGGCGTTGAAACGGCGGTCATCACTATAAGATAAAAGTCCCAGGTTCGAATCCAGCGGCCCTGCATTCGAACTCGACATACTTACAAATGGGTGTTTTGCGAACCCTCGGAAAAAAATTATACATATACAGGGTGCGTCATTTTTTGACGCACCATTGGAAAATCAACGTGGGTGCGTTTAAATCTGACTCGAGGCTTATTTCCTTTTATTAATACGTTAATAAAAGAAAGTGAGTCAATTTTCGGTGCACCATAGGAAAATCAATGTTGGTGCGTCTAATTATGACTCGGCATATTTTATTTTGTTAGTTTCTACAAAAAAATAGGCGAGTCACTTTTCGACGCACCATTCGTTACAAATTAGTTTTAGTAGGTTGGAAGGAAAATAAACAAAACCAATATTATTAAAACAACTGTAAAAATTTAAAAAAAATTCTTCACAAATTAGTTTGATTAAGGTTTAATAGTATTTTTTTCTGGTAAAGTAAAACAAAATTAAATAAATGTAACAACCTCCTTTTTTCTGGTAAAGTAAAAAATTAAATAAATGTAACAACCTCCTTTTTTCTGGNCTTTACCAGAAAAAAGGAGGTTGTTACATTTATTTAATTTTTTACTTTACCAGAAAAAAGGAGGTTGTTACATTTATTTAATTTTTTACTTTACCAGAAAAAAGGAGGTTGTTACATTTATTTAATTTTTTACTTTACCAGAAAAAAGGAGGTTGTTACATTTATTTAATTTTTTACTTTACCAGAAAAAAGGAGGTTGTTACATTTATTTAATTTTTTACTTTACCAGAAAAAAGGAGGTTGTTACATTTATTTAATTTTTTACTTTACCAGAAAAAAGGAGGTTGTTACATTTATTTAATTTTTTACTTTACCAGAAAAAAGGAGGTTGTTACATTTATTTAATTTTTTACTTTACCAGAAAAAAGGAGGTTGTTACATTTATTTAATTTTTTACTTTACCAGAAAAAAGGAGGTTGTTACATTTATTTAATTTTTTACTTTACCAGAAAAAAGGAGGTTGTTACATTTATTTAATTTTTTACTTTACCAGAAAAAAGGAGGTTGTTACATTTATTTAATTTTTTACTTTACCAGAAAAAAGGAGGTTGTTACATTTATTTAATTTTTTACTTTACCAGAAAAAAGGAGGTTGTTACATTTATTTAATTTTTTACTTTACCAGAAAAAAGGAGGTTGTTACATTTATTTAATTTTGTTTTACTTTACCAGAAAAAAATACTATTAAACCTTAATCAAACTAATTTGTGAAGAATTTTTTTTAAATTTTTACAGTTGTTTTAATAATATTGGTTTTGTTTATTTTCCTTTCAACCTACTAAAACTAATTTGTAACGAATGGTGCGTCGAAAAGTGACTCGCCTATTTTTTTGTAGAAACTAACAAAATAAAATATGCCGAGTCATAATTAGACGCACCAACGTGAGATTTTCCTATGGTGCACCGAAAATTGACTCACTTCGGACACCTACTTCCCATCTCAACCCCACCTTTTGAATTTTCTCTCCTATTTGCCATTTTTCAAATGTCGTGTAATCTATTTGATTCTCGGCGACAAATGATTAATTAATTGTAAGATATTAATTGGTCAAGCGGACGACGAAAACTAGTGAATTATACATTATGTTCTTAACAAATATTACGGTTTATTTATTTATTATTATTAATTTTAATATATTATCTTAATTTATTTATTTATTTGCTATATAACACTTATTACATGCTATTATTACACATTATATTGTAGACAGATAGAAACCCACATCCAATACAAAAGCGCTCAACATCAACGCTCCAAATGTAAAACGGAAAAAGTAATTTTTTGAATATCCCAACTCTCGTTTAATAGCCATACTAATTTCTCGACACTATTGTGCAATGGTGGTTCATTCTTTAACCAGTTTTGTAAATATTTTTTTTTTTTATTAGGCAACAAATATATTAGGCACTCCCATATTATCGTATTTGGGCCAATGTTTCGTTCATTCTTCATTCTTCAAATTGCAAATTGTCAGTTCCGTGTAAAAATAGACAACTTTGAACTTATATCAACAACCTTTGATTTTTATATCCGCTTAAATGAGAAAAATAAGGATGATATTTATAAAAAATTCTCTAACACCTTAATTTCACTCTATCAGTAAATTAGATTAAAAAATATTATTTCCGAAAAATATATTTGTATTCGTTGTAAGCACCGCTTAAAGTCTTTAAATACGAGTTTTTATTGTAAGCAAAAATTATTCATTATTGGGCTGGTTTGATTAGATTTTTTTGTAAGATGTCCGGTGATACATTTAAAAATCCATAACTCATCTGGATTTTATCCAATGTCCACGACAGACAGTCATTGGAAAGCTCCATTTTTTGGGATGGTTAGGATTTTTATAGATATCATCCTTGTTTTTTTCACTTATAATGCCAAAAAAACAAAATTTGTTAGTACAAGCTGAAAGAAAAAAGAAAAAAGGAGCTTTTTTTGACCATAAGATAAAAAAATGCTCCATTTTTCTTTCTTCTTGAAGCTTGTATCAGCAACTTTTGGCTTTTTGGCATTTTAAGTGAGAAAAACAAGGTTGATATCTACAAAAACTTTTCAAAATTGTATTTCACCTTATAGATGATAGATCAAAAATATTGTTTAAAAAATATTTGTATTCGTTGTAAACACGATTTAAGGCCTTTAAATGAGATTATTTATTGTCAACAAAAACTAAAAAGAGACTTTTGGACAGGATCAGCAAGAGAAAATTTTTCTCCGATATCGTCAGATGATCCATTCAAAAATCCATAATCCTTCTGAATAGTGTCCAATGTCCTTGGCATGACAGCCGTTGGAAAGCAGCATTTTA